TTTAGTACTCATTTAGTTTTGCCTTTGAAAGAATTTATTTCCAAAGAAACTAAAGAGCTTTTTACGTGTCATCATTGAATTCATGTCAGAGGATTTACATAACATATTTTGATTTTAAATTAGGCTTTCAAAAGATACTACTTGAAGATATAAAATAGCAAATGTGCTGAATTAGTTTTTGCTTTTAAATACATGTTATGGGATAATCATTGCTCCAGAGAGATTTTAACGAGTAGCAGTGTGGTTTCACTAGACATTCTAGAACTGATTTCTGTTGGCAGTGTCACACTGGGGACGCTGGGCCAAAGTACTTGCAAGGGAAACACACTCCAACTTTTGCCACTAGATAATAGAAACATGATAATGAAAATATGGCCCTTGTCCACAGCTTTTTTATAAAGGTAGCTGTTTGCCTCAAATACGTTATATCTCCATTTGTGATAAAATGTCTACATAGCTTGTGTAAAATGTACATGTGATGTTTCCTTCAGCTTCTCATGACAGAATGGGATGTGAATATATCGGCATCTTTACACAACAAAGCAAGAAAGCCCATGGCTTTAGGAAGCAAAAAGAAAGGAATTAATTAAATCAAACAATTTATTGAATAAGAAGTTTGAAGACACCTATCTGATCACAATCAAAAGTGATGTCATCTGTATTTTAAGGAAACACAATTCAGTACAATTACTTTTTGCTGACAGAGGTTTTGCATATAATGAGATGCCAGATCCTTTGGGCCATATTCATGTTGGTACTGACTGAATTCAGTGGAGATGTATTAATTTTTAGCAGAGGTATTCTGCTAGTTTACACTAACCTAAAAGGAGCTTATCCAAGCACTGGAGAAGTCTTTGATAATATATTCTTTCAGCTAAATGATACAGTTGGAAAAAGCAGGCAAGCTCTTGCAGATAAAGAGCTTTTTCAGGTCTGCAGTGAAACTGGAACTGAGAACACTTGAGATACCTCTTTTGCATGTCAATTTGCCTAACAAGACAATGATGTCTCTTTGCAAACTTGGCCTTACTTTATGCCCCTGGCTTATCAGAGCTGTTCCAGACTTCTATAGGGCTGTCTGCCTTGCAGGAAATGCTGCTGGATCAGTGTGTCCTCTTTGGTTTATATATGGCTAAAAATCTCACTGATTGTCTGTCTTTACCTCTCAGAGGCTCCCTGAGGCTATGAAGTTAGCGATCAAAAAGGCAGACATCTAGTTCAAGCTCATTGCCTCGACTTCTGCAGGCATTGGTGAGAGTCGGACACCTCCAGTGGGTGAATCATCCTGTTGACTGATGTGACGTGGATCTTTGCCTGGCATTGAAAAAAGCATACTTTTTTTCTTAGAAACCTTTCTTCTGAACAGAAAGGAAATCAACCTTGAGTTACTCGTACCATATGCTGCTTTAGAATAAAAGTTCTCACGTGTGTGTAAACACACACACATACAGACAACTTATGCTATGTCAAATGGCAAACTTATCCAGGTCATTTTAAGAGGTCTTCATAACAAAACAGAAGGAGTATGAATAGTTAGTTATAAGAGACCCTTTGAAATGTCATATAATATTAATCTAAACCAAGTTTGAAGTTACAAAAAATTACAAAAGATCAGTAATAAACTCAGCTCAGAATTCGGAGTCCTCGCAGCCACTAACTTGATTTATTTCCTTTAAAAAAAAAAAAAAGCAACTTTCCTATTCGGTAATGGTATTGTTTAAAATGTCCATTCCAAATAATTGTCACGCTCCCAAAATCCCTGAAGCATAAATAACAATTAGCAGAGCACAAGTGTTTCAGGCAAAGCTATTCTTAAGGAGATTCTCATCATTTTTCAAGCTGCGATTGCCCAGAAAACATCATAAAAATAATTCACCTTAGATGAATCCCAGCATCCACTGTGCTGATGTAGATCCCCAGCAAAATGAATAGATGGAAAGATCTGTTTTAAGCGCTGGATTTTAAGAAGACAAAAGTCTCCCCTTGCTACCTGTCAACAGCATGGCTTTATGGCAGAGGCTTGTGGACCTGCTTAAAGAACTACTTAAAACCCCTACAGTGGGTTTCCCAGCACATTAAAGCTTCAACTCAGTAATAAACACAAAGGTTGTATGGGGTATTTCTGTTTTAGAAGAAGCAGTAATGAGCAGCTAGCTGTTACGAGTCTGATGAAAGCCACGTACAGGATGGGAGCAGTCTCATCCATACCAGCCATTAGACCTGGCTCAAGGAGCGGGAAAGATAACCGGCTGGTTGCAAGTTAAAGGCTGAGAAACACTGTTGTGGATCCACAAGCAGTTGCATTGGCAGCAAGGGACTATTTTGCTGCTTCTGTCTCAGAAACACTTAGCAGAAGAAGAAATGCAGGTGAGATGAGAAACATAATTTAGGACCTCTCACAGGGACGATTTTCCTTCATCCATAGTTAAAAGAAATGTACACACGACCAGTGTTTGCATTCAAAGCTTCTTTGTAAAAGGAAGAACTTAATACTTCTAGCGCATAATATTGCAATAATGAAAGCTTGTTTAGTTTAATGCTTGGGAAAAAAAAGACAACCCCAAACATGATGACACTCGAGTAAGTGTCCCCCTGAAGAGGAGGGGTGTTATCATAGAAAGCTAGAGAAAGCCAGGGGGAGAGGAGAGTGAGTGCAGAGCTGTGTCAGAGAGGAAATAGAGCAGAGGGTACGGAGCCATATCAGGAAGGAGTGGGAGGCCACAGGCAGAATAAGAAGCATTCAGGGATACAAGCATGAGCCTCAAAGAGGGCATGATATAATGAGATGGTGAAGGAAAAAAGAGGCAGGAAGGCTGTGGCAAGAGAGTAAGGGCTGACCAGCAGAAGGGGAGTGTGACGAGTCAAAGAAGCAAAATCTCCAGGCTGATGTTTCCTTTACCTGTATGCACCACAGCCTAAGGAAACTGCTCCTAAAGTGGACACACTTAAGACCTTTACGTGAAATTAAGAGAAATCTGTTTCAAAGACTTTGTCCCCTCTGCACCCTTCTTAATAACAAAACAGCTGCGCGACTGTTGGGCACACCCTCCTCCATTAGAGGAAAACACAAAAAAGCAAAGTTCAGCCTAAGCCCTTGGTGAGATATAACATCATATGCACAGTGGCTGTAATGCAAAGAGATCTGGTATGTCTATAGCAGTTGGTTTATGTTTGCTGTCTCTCTTGGGATTTGTGTATGTTCAATAGGATTAATTGCTTCAGGAATCAAATTGTGCTTTTAAACCCGCTAGGCAGCTGTGGGATATGCTACAGCAATCATCAAACGCTTTGACTACTGTTAACATAATACTGGGGCCAATATTCCGGCACACTTCCATCAAAATGAATAAAGCATGCTGGTAGGTTTTTCTCAGCCCATAATGTATTTTCTTTTCTACGTGTTTCAACAGCAGTGTTAAGTTCTATAGCTCTGGAAGGAGGGATGAGCAAAGAAGGTGCTTCTTACTCCTGTAATGGCTCTGGGACATATGTAAGAGGAAAGAGGTACTAATTATTGGCCCCTCTTAAGTACTACAAGATACCTGATACAATCCCAGGCCCACAGCCAACATTTAATGTAGTGGGAACCGGGATCTCACTGAACTAGTTGGCACCACTTAAATCGGGATTGCATCATCATCAAAGATACACAGATAAACAAGGTTATGTGTACTTCATCTTCATACTGACTGATTCTGACAGCAATGAATCCAATTAGCTTTTCACTGAAGACAATGAAATTAAATCAAGAATGATTTTGGCCTTTTGGCTCTGAAATCTGTGTCACACCATGCGCTTCCGCTGTAAACATCTGCTTTATTTTTTTATTTTCTTTGTATGACAAAGTTCAACACAGGGAATTAATCCAGAAAAGAGCAAAAACTTTTCACAGCAGTAGACGGGGAAATCACAGAAGTACTTCCCCTCATAAAATGTTCAAGACTGAGTTTTTTGCTTGGTTGTGTCACACAGCTTTTATTTCCAATAGTTAAGATGGAAAAAAAAAAAAATAAACCAATGTATCATTTTTACACTACTAGACTAAATGTAATCCAAATTCTAAGCCCTACAGCTTCTCCAAAATTCATGGCATTCTTTTTGCCAGGTACTGTGCCTTATGTTCTTTTCATTACACTAGAAATAGGCTTAAGTGCACCTCGTGTTCTTCCTAAATCTTCTAACAATACATGAATAAGAATCACATTGAATACTACTAGTGAAGCTGATGTCTCAAGCTCTGCCTTTGAAAGTGCCTGTGAAACTCTTTCTGGAGTCAGTGCCCATTGTGCAGTTGTCATGGTTCAGAATCTAGCCATATGCATTTCAAGTGCAGGCAACATTTTCAAAGCTGTATGATGTAAATATGTATCTAAATTCACCTAAATTCTTGAAGATATAGAAATAATTTGAAAATTGTACCTTCTTGGACTAGATCTGATTTAGAGATATGCCAGAAATGTGTAAAGGAAAAGAAAGGTTGTCCCAGAATAAAAAATAATGTGAAGGACTAATGACATACAAAACAATTAGTGGTTGGCTAATTACAGGCCATTTTAAGTAGAGTATTTTAGTGGTCATGTTTAAAAGACTGGCTAATATCAAGTTTATGAATTCAGATTATTTTTAATACAAAGTCTTAAGATACTGTACAAAATTCTTCTATAAGCCTATTAAAACATGCATAATTATAGGGTGATTTGCATCTTTGACTGAAGAAAGTCTGCAGAACTAATATGGTTTTAGGAACTGGCTGTAGGGATAAGCCACCATTGCACTGAAAAATAGTACTGTGCCAACTATCGTGCAAACTAAAGTGAAGGACAGGAAGAATTTCCTTATTTCTGATGACATTCCTTTCCCTCATTCACTGCTCCTCTGCTACAGCTTGAAGAGCAAAGTTTATGCCTTTGGAATGCAGTAGAGTGCCGCAGTGTTACGAGTTTGGATTTTTTTTTTTGCGTTTTTTTTTAAATTTTTCCCCTCTGGGGGCACAATGCTTCTGGGGATCTCTCATTTCCTTGACAAACTGCACGATTTGATTGCCGGTTCCAGCATAGCATATGCAGTTTATAAGAGCAGTGCATTCTTTTGCTCTCTATAAAAGAAAATAAAGTCACTAAAAAGTCTAAGGAAAATGCCAAATTCCCAGGAAATAAAAATGTCTGCCTTGTGTGTGTGTGTGCATGTGTGTGTGTGTGAAGTTTAATAGCTTTTGAATGAAGTGACATTTTTATTGCTTTGAGGCATACATGTATTGCAATAGGTTTTATTATTTTGGAAGATGGAAGTGTGAAGAAAAACACTCTAAAAAAAAAAAAGGTAAAAGTGATGTTACATTGAATAGAAAATATTTGCATTTCATTTGTTTAAAAATAAGCTGTTAAAATGCATCATGCGATTCTTCACATGTCAGCCCGGACAAATGAAGCAAAGATGCCGTCTTCTTGAGAAAGTAGGTTCTCAGGCGTATCATATTCTAAAATGTTCCCTCGCTTCATGACAATGACCAGGTCTGCCGTTAGGATGGTGTGAACGCGATGCTGCCATAAAGAAAAGCATACAGAAGTTTTTATTACAATAATTCTCACTGCAGTTCATTAATGGGCCTAATGCAAGGCATACCAAGCTGGTGGAAGGCTGTCCTTGTTTATAGTGGTATTTGGAGTAGGTCCTTGTACTATATCTTTAATCTGAAGAGATCTCCAATTACTTTACAGCCTCTGGCGCCAAGCCTGAAAATACTTAAGCATGCACTTCACTTTTTGGTCCGCTAATTGCCATTATGGAGAGCACAGCTGTTGGAATAAATCCTATGGCATCACTGAAATACATCGACCAACACCCACCTCACTACAACCTCCTTTCAGGTAGTTGTAGAGAGCGATAAGGTCTCCCCTCAGCCTCCTCTTTTCCAGGCTAAACAACCCCAGTTCCCTCAGCCGCTCCTCATAAGACTTGTTCTCCTTTAGAAAATATGGGCGAGAATCATGCTGGGTATGCCTGCACTGTCAGGTGGCTTAGCATCCTGCTCCGCTCCTTGGTCTCTGTACCCTGACTGTCTGCTCTGCATCTGTCTTAGGGCACTCCTGGGCTGTCTCCTTCTGTAAATCAGTTAGCTCCCTCTAAGATTAAATTTGTGGGTGCTACAAGCAATACTTTAGCCCCATAGGCAACAGGAATGAAACGATGTGAATACAGCCAGTCAGGTATAGACACAATGAACTCTAAAAGTGTGATATTTCACTATAAAGGCTGAAGGTCAGGGATTACTTCATGGAGTGGATTCCTCTAACATTATAGATTCAATGCTAGCTGCCTGTCTAAGCTTTAGTTAAATATGATGAGCATAAATAGTCATGAAATTAAACAAACCCAGGAACGATACAATAAACACCTTCTTGCACTGTCATCTCGGAAGTTGTGCAGTAGAAAGAAAGCAGAGTGAAAGGAAACTAAAGAGGTAAAAATAACTACCAAAGAGCCAGAAGTCTTGTGAACAGGGTGGTCTGAGAGAGTCTACTTGTGAGTCTTCACCAAAGTGGTGAACAGGCCGTCCTCTTTGAGGAGTAAGTTTGAGGCAGTGTCACATTCAACTAGAAAGCCCTCAGAAAGGACTAGGACAATATTGGCATCCAAGATGTGAGACACGCGATGCTGGAAAAAAGAAAAGAAAAACAGGTGGGTGAAGGAAGGATCAGCCATGAAGAGAGGAAGGAAATTAAGCCAACTCTGTGAAGAAAGCTAAATATTAACCTGTGCCATTTTGCTTGAGACACCAACTTTGGAAAGGCAAAGCAAAAGAAAAGTGAGATTTCAGTCAGAAGGACAATACTGAAAATTTGAATGGCATGTAACTGAAGGAGAATATGGTTACTGCTAGCATCTTCAGCATTTATACATCCAAGAACCTTAGAGCCTATTGTAAATGAGCTAGGTTAAGTGGTTTGCTTGACACAAACTAGTCACTGACAGACTTGAAACCAGAGTCCAGGAGGCATAACTCTAATCTTTAACAGCAGGACTGGATTCCAGACAAAGCAAATGAAACAGCTGTTGAAACATGTATTTATCTTGTGGATAAAACATCTGTTTGTTGAGTAAGCCTGCCGTCACAAGGTGGAACACTCTGTGTGTGTGTGTGTGTGTGTGTGTACGTGTACGTATGCATGTATATGTACGAACATACATGTGCATACCTGCACAGATATATGGAACTTTTGGGCACTAGAAATGGCAGGAAAACAGGAAAAAATATCATACACCCTTAGCTGAACAGATATTAATTTTTGAGCAGTTCCCATTCATTCCAATTTTTAAAACCTTTATTATAAACCCAACTTCTTATTCTGAAAGAAAACCCAACTTGAGAAACCACACCAACAAGCTTTTGAAATCTCAGCTCTGTTTATAAATTCGTGCCATGACTGTAGACACTACATATGCATAGACTTCAGAGGTAAAATTCAAATCTACATTTCAATAATGGTTTCACCCATGGGTTCATATTAAATTTTTTAGTGAGAATGACTTCAAATTTTCTTGGAGACAGTGTAGGTGCTGAGGTTCCCTGTAAAGTCCTTCTTCAGATCTAAGTGTTTTAGTTTGGCCCACTAGCAAGATAAGAGTTTACTGCAAAATTTCAGGTTGAGAGTATGTGTCTTGACTTGTTCTAGTATCTCGGAATATTCTGACCCTGTGTTTTAGTTTTACGTTTTGATGTTTTTAGTTTTATATGGTGATGTTTAGCTGGTGAAAGGCAAGATTAAGTGCCTGAGGAATGAGGAAAGAGAGCATTTGCTGGCGTCAATACTTACCGCTATTGTTACAACTGTGCGGTCTGCAAAGGCAGTCATCACAACCTTCTGCAAAATGTTTTCCTGTCAAAGGAAAAGGCTTACTTCAGTTATTTCATCCTTTTACATTTTAATTCATGTGTCTTCAAGCACATCATATTCCATACTATCTCTGCTCTGTGCACCAGATTCGCAGTAATAAAATGCCACACGGGATTTGCTAAAACATTTCATCTTTTTTCCCCTCACCATGGGCATCAATCCCCAAAACACATCAACAGCAATGGCTGAAACCACACACAAGAGAAAGGCAAAAAAGCTGTCCATTTTTTCTGCTAAAGAGATCTCATGGCTGACATTTAGGGCAGATGATGCCATCTCTCCTAGTAGATCCATGCATCGATGGTGCTAATTGCTATACTCACTGTGGCCATGTCAATAGATGCTGTGGCTTCATCCATGATGAGAATGCTACTCTTGCGGACAAAGGCTCGGGCCAGACAGAAGAGCTGCCTTTGCCCTACACTGAAGTTCTCTCCTCCTTCTGTTACCGTTGCATCTGGAATAAAATCAGTTACTTTGAATGTCACACCACTGAAATGCTGTATGTTCATACAGTCAGGACCCAGTGATTTTGAGTGCGCACCATGAAATCTCTGGCTGTGCACTATTCCAGGGTCAAGCAAAATCCCCGTAAAAGCCAATAAGCATAATCTTGACTGAACACTGTAATGGAATGATAACCAAGAAAAGTGGGCACAGCTTCCTGGGAAAGGAGCGATATATCATTAAGCAAATAGTTGGCAGAAATAGTTATCAAATCTGGTAGGCTGCAGGATAATGTCTTAGTAATGTGAAATACATTTAATATGGAAGGAAATACATGAGTTTCCTTCGTGAACCAGATCTGAAATGGTAAGGAAGATGCTCTGTCAGTGTTCTAGACAAGAGCTACAGCTCTGCTGGCAGAGCCAGATTCTGCTGAGGTAAAACTGCTGTTTTTTAACTCTTTGTTGATGAGCCACCCCACTATGATGCTGAGGTGCTGCAGGATTTTTCTGTAATGAGTGGAAAACCAGACTACTCTTCAGCTTTTTAGTAAGAATATTCTCTCTAGCATAGAGACAGAATATTCATTAGGTGCCTGTCAACTCTTACATGATGGTTCAGAGTGTAAGTGTAAGAACCCATGTATCTGTTTATATATGTGCATTCTCATGCATGCATAATTTTGTTATTGGACTATGTTCCCAGGGACTTGGTTCAGACATACCAAGGCCTCCTGGCAATGACTTGACCATGTTCTTCAACTGAGCAATCTCCAAAGCTTCCCAGAGTCTATCATCAGTACACTTGCATTCTGGATCCAAATTAAAGCTGCAAAGAAAACCATAACAGGAGCCTTGTTACTGCAATTACAGTTCATTAAGGTCTTCTGCAAAGGAACATTTTGGCATTGTGTATGTCACTTGACTTCCCTTGGACAGACTGTGTGGACAGACTGTGTAGACATATCGGAGTGAGCCAGGAAGGTTCCTTTTACATCCCTTCCTGTTCCACAGCCTCCATCACAAACATGCCATGCAATGCTGCTTGTCACCCCCTGATGGCATATGCCTACCGGATGGAGCCACTGAACAATATTGGATCCTGAAGAATAATGGAGAGTCGGGAACGGAGAGTATGAAGAGGCAATTTGCTGATGTCTATTCCGTCAATCACTATCCTCCCTGTTTAAAACAACATGCAGAAGACATGTGAGGGAATTGCACAAAGCATGTGATCTGCAGGTAGCAGACAGAAAGAGAAAACAGCTAGTTTGGGCTGGACTCCAGACGATGAGGCAGCGTGCCTCTGCGATCTCTCAGCACCATTATATAAACATGGGGAAGGTGAATGTATGTAGTAATGCAAGCCAGAGGGAACCCAGCTTATTAGTGATGTTGTTGCCTTGCTCTCTTTCTCCCCTCCTTCCCCCCTTCCCTTAAAGGAAGTACATAGCTTCTATCCTATGTGATTAACGATAACACCAGAAGGATAGTTTATTATGGGGCAACCTGAGCTTTACAGCCAAACAGAGTGAGAACAAGAGCAACTTATGTAATTAGCCATGTCCTGTGCCTTTCTCTGTTCCCCTTGACTTTAACAGCTGCAGAAGATACTTAATTTGAGATTGTGCACAATTTCTCTTGCATAATATATGTATGTATCTGCAATCCATACATCAGGAGCCAAAACTATCCTTCAAACTGTAGAAGAAATGTGGTAGCATTAACTTTTCAACAAGAGGCAGATCAGAAAAACAAAAAGGATGTCCTACTCCAGGGCATTTTAATACCATTCATGCTGGTTCCTACAGCTCAGTTTCATTTGAGTATTTGGTTGTGAATTAGCCACATACTGTTCTGCTAGCATAAGATTACTGGAAGCAGTCACATTAATCACTCCTTAACCTAGTAGTTCATTCCTTGACAAGAAGTTGCTGCAACAGGTGGGATACTTGGTAAAGTAAGAGGATTTTTCCTTTTCTAGGCACTACTTCGGGTCAATGAGCATACAGATCTCATTTGAAGATCTGTTTTATGATGTGTTGGGTGTGGCAACTGCTGATACTCAGGCAGGGAGATGGGGGAAACATACGAGAGAAAATGGTTGGCTGCTCTGTAAGTAGAAGAGGGTGAGAAGGGCAGAAGGAATCTCTTTGCTTGAATCCTCAAACAAAAGCCAGGAACTACTGACCCCACTGACTTTCCCGGGACACAGAAACTTCCTCTGGGTTATGGGGAAGGGATGGGTCAGGGCAAACTGAATGAGGATATGGTAAGGGGTATTTTCACCAGGCTCACTTCTGCAGTTTCCCTGTGGATTACTTCACCCTAGGAACCCTAGGAAGTACCTAACAGTAAGTTCATCAGTTCTCTCTCCAACAGTGAGACACTAACTGTGGACTGGCAAATACATGGATATTCAAAGCTGTGCAGGTATGCCTCTTCTGTCATTCCCAGTTGTCATGATACTGCATTTTGTAGGTTACTCTAAGTGGCCCTATTCTGATGAAAGACTTAATCTCCACCTAGTTGGACTACCATTAGTCTTAAGCTTTTATTAGAAGTTCAGAGGAACCAAGATTTCATCTGTAGGGTGCAAAGTCCAATTGTTTTCAGACTTCCAGAAAGTCTGAATCAGGTCATAAGCATGAGACATCAGTGGCTGCATAAACTTAAGCAATACCTTTTCTTCACAAATGAGGACATGAGAGAAGGTTAGCAGAAGATGAGGTAGACTAATGAGAGAAAAATTAATATGGCATGCGTTGGGAATACGGGAATGCATTTTTGATAGCAGCCAGGGTGTTCAAGAAAAAGAGAAGAGCAGATGAGGAGACCTAAGGGAAAAAGTAACTTAGAGAGGAGATGGGAAACCAGCAAAGTAATGAGGGGTGGCCAAGCAAGACAGAAGAGAAATGAGAGGTGGTTTGAACAGAAGGCAAGGAAAGGGAAACACTGAAGACAAAAGAAAGAAGTAAGAGTAGGGGATTAACATGGAAAACATACAAATTCAAAGAAATAACAAAGCCATAAGGAACCAAGATGGAGAACATGAATGAAATCTGACTCCAGTAAAGTTACTCGAAATCTTGTTATGTAACTTTTATTAGAGTCAGGACTCCACCCAGAAGTGGACCAGCACAGAGGCCAAATATGGGTCTAGCTGAGAGAGAGAGGGCGATATGCACAAAACATAAACAGAGATTGATTAGAAAAGACTTAGGCATTCCCACTGGGAAAAATCAGGGATACAGAAGGAACAGACAAAGAAAAGATACAGAAGGAAGATTAAAGTAGAAGGAAACTTCAGGTTGGCAATAAATATAACTATTATTTGTTTGCACTATTTATATATCCAGGAACCCTTGTCATGAATCAGAAACCTATTACCATAGATACATATAGGCACAGAACCACAACAAAAGCAAGTATTGGTTACATCAGATTTACTTGTCCTCCCACATCCTACTGGGGTTTCCCTAGCAAACGTTCCACATGCAATGGCTAAATTACAAACATGGAAATATTTGAAAGAAAAAGATGACTTTGCAGTAGGTTTCCATATTCCTGCAACAGTAAACATGTATATGTATTATAAATGCCAGGGTGCATATTGTTGCCTACCAGTTCATTCCAATTACCTGGGAGAGTGAAATGCTGCAGGAATGAAAACCTAGCAAAATGTTTTCAAAACCTTTAGTCAGTTTCTGCTGTAGTTGTGTGAAACCACAATTTAAAAAAAAAAAAATCAAGGGAATGGACTTGTTAAGTTCTAGTTTCTATTCTGCTAACATTTTGACAGCTATTGTAAGTTAATGCATTTATTCTTTAGGGAGAAATTTAGATGCTCCAGAGAGTTGCATATTTTTTCCTCCTATCTCAAAAATGGCATATTATTTTGTCAGAGCATATGCAAAAATTTTTAAAAAATTAGAAGTATAATCTGTGTGTAACACTTCCTGGAAGAACCAAGCGCTACTCACAATAGGACACTTTGTACTTTGAAGGATGAGGCATAGCAAGCCCTATTCTAATCAAGTATCTTCTGAGCCAGAAAGCTGGATATAAACTATCAAAAAGTCTCCTTGCTTCTTCTGAAGAAATAGGGGGGAGCAGGTCAGGAATGACAACATACTCCAGTGAAAACTAACCGTCAAATATGTCCACCATTCTGAAGAATGCCAAAGAGAGGGATGACTTGCCGCTGCCAGTACGACCACAGATCCCAACCTGCAAAAGAAAGGTAGATGTTGCTTACTTATAGAGGGAAGCTGTAAATCAGATTTGCAGTCCTTCTGGGAAAACTGGACTGGACTGCTCTACTGGTGAGAAGAAAGGTCCTTCTCAATGGCCAGTGGTAGGCACCAGGGAAAAAACAGAAGAGCATGGCAAGCACACTCCTCTTTTCTGCCTCACAGCATCATGAGGACTTGTCCTAGGAACATTTTTGAAACTTCAGCATTTTGACCTGGCTTCCAATGACACTGTATGCTGAAATGTGAGATAGTCGCATTTTTACTCAGTTCCAGTTCATCTCATCTCATCTGGCCACCTAGGCTCATTCTATGCAAGGGAGATGGACTTGGAAAGAAGTGGAACTCTCAGAAGGGAAACTGATCCCAGCCAAGAATAACATGTCATCGGTGTAAGTTTCTTGACCCATGCCCAAGGACCTCAGAGAGGACCATCAATGTATACAGCTGTCACTGCAAATTGTTGTTATTCTTGCTCTTCTGCCACTTTAGAAAAGAAAACACAATAAGGAAGGATCTGCTCCAGAATGAGGATGATAGGCAATTGCTTGACACGGTACCTTTTGTCCTGGTTTGATATATGCTTTAACGTGCTTAAGAACAGGCTTCAGGTTGTTCTCATATCGAACGCACAAATTTTCAATCTTGATTTCCCCTTCTTGGGGCCAGTCTTTTGGGACTTGAGAGGGATCTGAAATAGTTAACAGTAAAACAAACCAAAACGAATGCTATCAGAGGGTCACCTTTTATGACATCCCCATTTCCCCCTGTTTTCTGCCTGGGCACCTTCCTGAAGCCACTCGAGAAACAGAGTTCCACGTCCCTGCTGAGGGGTGCTGGGAACTGCCTGGCAGGCACGTTAGCACTTAGCTTCCAGATCTTGACACATAAGACGAGAGAGCAGATGCTAAAGTGGCTCTCAGAAATGAAACGGGGAGAAGCCAAAAGAGCAGAGAAGAATGTAGTGTCAGCGCAGTGTTAACATGTCTTCAGTCAGTAACCGGCATGGGAAGGGCAGTGCAAGGAAGGATGTTGTTGCTGCCGTAAAACATGAGCTGTTGACATTTTCACAGCTCATATTTCATCCTGATTTGCAAATACACAGGCAGGTTTTGTCTCCAGACTAAGGGGCTTGGCTTTCCAGGGAAGTTTGCTGACCTGCAAGCATTTTGGCCTTGCACTTCAAGCACTTCTGAAATACCAGTCAAAGCCAATTTGAAATATGTGGAGTATGAACAGCAATGACCAGTTCAGGGAAGAGTGGCTGAGGTCTGATTGCCAACGTGCCCCTGTCCTGCAGACCCCATTTGCTGCAAAGCATGTGACTTAGTGCACTTCTAATTTTTATCCACATTTTTGTTTTCTGAATAGCTACATAGATGCATTGTTCATCCTATCTATAATTGTGCCCCAGTACTTCCTGATTGTACTACAGGGCCATGCTCTGTCTCCCTGGTATTTGGTAGGGTTTTTTTTATGTTGAGTAGCATGGGCTACATATCTCATAGCTGCTTGTGGCTATCCTTGTCACTGTCACCAGTGGGAGTTCCTACATGTCAATGAGAACAGGTTTTGGCCAAAGAGGCATATACATTTTGCATGACCAAGTCTACTGTGCTTTCACATTACCACATTAAAAACCAAAAAGATTAGAGTGAATACCCAAGTAGCCATCATAGTTCTCCGACTCCATGTTCAGGAAGCTGTGCACTTTTTTTACTGCACCCATCTGCACTTCCAGATCAGCCAGATTCCTCACCACCCAGTTCAAATAGTTGGTTATCTGCATCACAAAATGAAAACAAGGACAGGGTTCAGCCTTCTGTCTGTTCATCTACCTGTTTGCAAATAAAGGTTGGATAAATTTGTAAAAGTCTTTGGCCTGACTCAGCACAGTGGGTCTCTCATTGACATTACAGCAGTTCTAGACTTAGTGCAACAGCATCAAATATGTAATAAGCCAGTCATACTCCAACACAAACAACCCTGACATAGTAATTTAGTGCTCGGTATTCTCATCCTTGTTTTTTGAAGAAATATGGAAAGGTTGTACCTACAGTCTGAAGATGTGACTGATTAAGGGAATCTCTTGTTCTCAGCATCTAGTAATCAGTACTGAAAGGCATATTCTTTAAACACACACACACAGAAAAAATCCAAATTGGAAGCACTGTTTGGAAAGATTTAATTTTCTAATCTTTCAAAGACTGCAATTAAAGATTAAGACATTTTACTATTTGCAAATATATTTAAAAGATTTGATGGGAATTTAATTTCTGTTTCCTTCTGTGCATATTTAGACACTTCCTTTCTCTCTGTGGAAAATGTGAGGGCTTTTAGCACAGAAATCTATGAGAAAAAATTTATTATCAGCTCAATGGTATTTCCTTCTTGGTTTTTATTCCCATTTGTAATCAAAAAGATTTGATCAATAGTAAAGGTATTACTTGTAGTAGATAATAGTTGATAATTAGTCATCTAACAATAGCCAGTAGCTTAGAGAAACTGATCTCTAGTCAGGACTGACTATTTAACGTTGAAAATTGTAAAGCAATTTCCTAAACACTTCCTAAATGTTCCTAAGTCTGTATTTAGGTGATCATATAAAAAAGAAAAACTGATCTTACTAGGAATAGTTGATTGCCAAGCACCTTTAAAAATTTAGATACTTTACATACCTGAATAAAGGTTTAGTAACTTAACTTAGACAGTGAAAACATCCTATACACAGACATATTCAGAGAAAGATTTTGTCATTTATTTGTGGGACATTGCTGAATCTGCCATATAAGAAGTTTATTCTGAGTAAAACACCCAGTTCCACTTCTTTTCCACTTACCTAATACTGATAGGCATAAAGTAAATAATTTTCACTAAGATTCAGCAATAACATTTGTTGTCAATTTAGAGGATTTAGTCGCTTGTTTTATCCTTAAGATACAGTTATTCTAGGGGGTAGTGTGAAGTATTTTCTTTGTTATTCAGGAACCTACTCATTCCATGTCCAGCTTTTGAGTCAGGAAGTTACAGAAATGGGTACATCTGCAGATAAGCTAAACACTCTGCAGAACTGCTGCTTGCGTAGTAGCAGGCTGCAATCATAGATCTAGCAGATTTGAAACAGAGCCTGGCATCCGAAAGGCTCTTTACCCATTATTTCAACCTTTATCGCAGTTGTGCAAGGGAGTTGGCCGTGTTTATACAAGGGGAAAGAATAAGCTTATGGATGTCTACTGTAAACACAATGTTGGTACAAACAGTTTGCTCTCATCCAGGTGCAAATATCAGTCCTCCTCTTAGCTCCAAAGAGAAATGATACAAAAACCTATGTCAGGGGACATAGGTAATGATCCAAATGCATTCAAAGTTTCATCAGTGATATTGTGGCAGGAGAGAGACAGGTAATCACTTGGTGACTACAGCATTTTTTGCTCTGCTATGCCAGACTTCAGCACATGGCTAATTGACACTAATGATCTGTTTGCAAATACAGACTAAATACAAAAAAGCCAAGGATGATGCAGATGTCTTAGTGTTTCCAGATCTCTGCTAATGAAGCAGGATTACCAGGAATGTTTTCAGAGTGAAGTTGAAGCACTGGGGCTGATTGTCAGTTGCTGGCAGATTCCCACACTGCTGCAACAGCGGCGCAAAGGGGATCTAAGGCCACTCTAAGGCAGCTGCCGAGAACTTTCTGTTGTAACCATAGGCTCGCCAGCATTTACATGCAAAGCCAGATCTCAGCGTTAGAGCCATACCCATACCCCTCCCTCATACCAGTGCTGTAAAGCAGCCAGTTTTTTGCCATGCCACCCATGATATAAAAAATTCTTCCTGCCATTATCCTCATCCTGCTTTTGTTGACACTCTCATGGTTAATTCAGTGATATTTCTGCTCTCTATGGTGATCGTACTCACTCTATGCTCATGATGCACTCCCCCTCTCTCTTATAGCCTACTACACTAAAACACTGTTCCTCCTCCGTGACTCAGCTCAAATAGCTTAGTGCTACTGACAGAGTTAAAATGAATCAGCTAGCATCCCACCAAGATCTCATTGTTCCTAACCCCATCTCCGCTGCTTTCCTACTGCTACCTGTCATGATGAACCATGCCTACCAGCCCCAAAGGTCCCAATCCCCAAATCCATTCAGAATTTGGACAATGTTGGGCATCTGAGTAGTTTCTTTCCAAAGACAGAACTGGCATTTCTGGTTCTTCAGCAATTATTTCATTTGGACTTTGGTTAAACATTACCCAGGTTATGACAGTCTGTGGGATAGCATTTTCTGGCAGGTTTTGCCATACACAGGCGGAACCAACACTGTGTTGTGGAAAACAGAATGCACAGCAGGTCCTCTTACGCATTTTTAATTTTCCTGCTCTGCTTGGGAGCACGCAGGGCCTGGGAATGGTTGTGTTTTTTTAATTGGCTCATAAAACCTGAAGCAAGTCCAAGTTGCCCTGAACTCTCTCAACTTTGGCTTGAATCCATTATTTGCAAGATTTTTTTTTTTCAAGATTAAGCAAGCTGGAAGATAACCATGTATATGTATTTTCCAAAATATCATAAAATTAGTATGTTGGTCTGAAAGTTCTTATGCTTTGCCTTGGTACATACCGTCAGAGCATACAGGAGACCTAGCCCCACAAACCCCGAGTTAGGCCCTTCAGTGATGGAAGTGACAGCCGCAGTCAGAACTATGCAAGCACCGAGATAATCCTGGAACGAGAGAGAGGGAGAGAAAGATTCTATACAACATTACAACACAGCAACAAGAAAATTTTTTCAGATACAGAGCACATTTGGTTTACTAGGGATTATTTCTATAATGACACCTAGACCTTAATTCTGGGTTGTTTTTCCTGGAAAAGGTCAGGGGTTTTGGTGCCCAACCTGAAACACTCTAAAGGAACTTGCTGAACACAAGTGAAACAGGCCAGTATTTTCTGCAAAGCCAGTTGGGCTAAGGTATCTCATTGTGGCCACCCCAAAAAGAGCAGGTATCAAAAAATCTAATGAGCACATCAAAAAAAGAAAAATCGTAAGAATGGCATAATACTGACACCCCTAATTCCTACCACTAAAACAAATCAATTCCACTCACTCCACAATCCTTCAGGTCTTCTCAAACATAGGTTTGCCTCCCCCAAAAAAGAGAAGTATCAGTGACTTCACAAAGTCCATGAAGAATTTCAGTAGAATTTATACAGGTAATACACATGTTTTATGGGCACAAGTGGGCAGACTTAAAGTGTCTATGTCATGCAATGGGGCACTGTGCATGGTGAAGGCATCCCCAAGCCTGCTATACACTCACAGCCTGCAGCGAAACACCATGTGGGTGTTGGTAGCGTGGACTCTGAAAGCAGTATAGCTGTGTAGTTGTGGTGCTGCAAACGAGCTACTAAGCCTTGCTCCTGCCACAGCACTTTGAGTTTCGGAGTGACTCCGTAGTAGGTACCTGAAGGATCTCAGCTCTGTTGCATGGTGATGACTTGATTTACAGAAATTGCTGTGTAGGCTGTATTAGAAAGATCTGACTTCTCACAAGCTTTGCAGGAGCTTGAACCCATCTTCTTGATGTGTACCTCAGTTCTGAAGTGAAGGCCACATGTGATCTCATGTATTTGTCAAGGTGCCCGATTCATGAGACTGCTGGTATTCCCACTCTCCCACTGCTCCCTGCATTATATTTACTTTGGATTACAGGGTTAGCATTTTCCATCCATTTTTTTCCTCCTGCCTGATAATATCCTGCCTGGAATCTTTCCCTCTGAGATCTGAAATGAGGGCTGCCTAGTTCATCTGTCTGTAAAAAGTGTTGATGAGCAGATGACAGATTCAAACTTAACATCTACAGGGAAGTAGAAGCACAATGGTCTTGAGTGTCCTTCGGCAGTTGGTACAGAACTTCACAGTTGCTCTTAAACCCTACAAAGTTTTGAGTGATATTAGTGCCACTGTGCCACTAGGCAGAGCTAAATAAACTATTCTTTGGCGTGACCACGTTATTTCTAATGCTATGATGAAGCGATGCATATTCTTGGATCAAATTCATTCCACATGTAAGCAAGTCTAAGACTGTGAGACATTAGCAGGCATTGTCACAGTTTATTCCAGGATTGGTTGTTGCTCTGTCTTTGATTTGGAAGCAAGTTCAGCTTGATCTTGGATGCTGAAGGAAGCTGAAAGCTTCATGCACGAGGGAAAGCTATGCCATCATAAGAAATCGGAGCACAACTTTGTTGCTCCGCCAGCATACCAGGAAATGAAGGTAAGGATACAGCCTTTGAAGTGAGGATTAATCATGCCTGTTACTATTTGTGTCTAGCAGAATCAGGTCACTGCTCTGTTTATTCACTGCTCTTTTAGTGTCAGATGAATAAAGAAATCACAGTGATTTTGCTTGCTGCCTCTTGCCTTGCAAATCAGGGAACCTCCTCATATGCTGCCCCCGGAAAGCCCCTATAAAAGCCAGGAGCCTGCCTTGCTGGCACTGGCTGCGTTGTGCCCTACTGTCATTTGTTTTTCAGTTGGAGTCTAGTTCTGCCATCTTTCATGATATTGAACAGTATTGTAAATCACACAGTATGGGCTTACAGCTGCAGTAAGGGCACTGCAAATGGGGGCTTTAAATTACAGCTGTGGGATAAAACCTGTTGCTGGAGAGATACCTCAGGACCTGGAAGCTCAATGGTGCCTGAGAGAGCCCTGGCAGAATGATGGCACAGTTCACAAAACTACTTAAAACCATGCTCTGCTTTGAAAGTAGTTCCTGCTGTGGCATGTCTGCAGATGCTGCGCAATAGTAGAGAAAGCCTTATTTCAAGTTACGTAAATGTTTGTTCTTGCACTCTCTTCAGATGCTAGGCATCGCAACAGCAAAAGATGAGGGAGACTTGTATTTTCTTACTCCTGGACAAGAAAGCTGAAAAAACCCTATGGGTTTAACATAAACAATCCCAATCTATTTTAAGAAACAGTGTGTATAATCTCATTGCGAGATTAATTCTCCTTATTATCTTCTCTGCATCAGGCAAAGTCTCTGTTTGCTTCCAAGGTTTCAAAACCATGGCTGGGACTAAACTGAACGTACCGTCCTGACCTCCAGCCATCTGTTGGCAGCCGATAGAAATAAGTAGGCAATGTTGTTCGTGTCCGTTAGTTCCAGCATACGTTGTTTAAATCTGGCTTCATGCCTGCCAAGAGCAAAGTTGTTACATTACAACACATTACACACTCAGGATGAAGGATGAAGCATGAAACTCTTCTCTCCCTCCCCTCCCCCCAAACCAAAACTTTTGGCCCTTCTGCCTTTGCCAAACTTTGGGTTAAAAAACTCTTCCCTAAGGAGCTGTACCTGCTGCCAGGGCTCTCCTTAACCAGGTAGAACTACACGTACAATGGGGAGGAATTTGTTCCACAAGCCATTATATTGGACTAGATTTTGGATCAGAGCCTGTCCCCTCGAAGAGACTGCAATGCCAGGGTGCTAGGGACAAGTTTTACTTCCCAGAGCATATCCACTTTAATAGCTGTGGACTGTGGCTGCTGCTGCCCTCTAGTCCTCTCACAGGTGAGTACTGCCATGGCCCATCTCTTCTTCCCAAGCCACTAGCAAGAGCAGAGGGGTCACCTGTCCGCTTAAAATCTGATTTCAGAAGTTACCTGGCCAGCTGCAGGAGTATTCAACAGGCGTGACATCTCTTAAGGCTTCAACTAATGTAGACTGTAGATTGATCAGTAGATCAATACCTTTCAGCTACTCAGCTCAGCTGTTTTCTGAGCCAGTCACACATTGCTTAAGCAACTCAGACAGCTACAACGAGGGAGAGCTATTGATCATTTCTGAATTACAAAAATGAGCAGCGTTACCTCCACTGTCACTTGTTTCTCTCTCCCCCACGTAATGCCTGTCATTTAAAAACAAGTGCAAGGATATCAGAGCACCTGAGAGCGGAGGTACACTTTGGGGAGGGAGCGGGAAATCTCTGTTGGTGTAAGTGTATTAAATTCATGGTGCCTTGCAGTACTTTAGGTATGACCTGCAGTCAGATGGAAACCTTTTGTTGTTTCATATTCTACTCTCTGTTAAATACCCTAACTTGAATAAATTACCCCAACTTCATTCAGGAGCTTGTTGTCTGTTTTATCATGGCAAGCTCTTCCATTTCAAAGTCTCAAGGCCCTGCTGTGAAGCACCTGTAACCCCTGTTCTGCCAGAAACTTCTTTTTTTTCATTTTTCCTTTTCCCACTGATACTCTGTTTCCCTCTGCACATGGCAAGCAACCTCTCCAAGACAACAACTGGTAACATTAATGACGTGAGGAGGAGCAAAGATGCACTGAATATTCTGCTCGTCTGCCTTTCTGGCAACAAAACTCCTGTTTTCCTAATGGAAAATCTGACATGCTCAATCTGTATCTTTTCATCCACGTCCAGCTCATCTTCTGGGTAGTTTTAGACTTTTATCCTGTCAGATGACAAACAGAAAAGGTCACTGAAATTTGTGTCTGATCCAACTGTGCTACTTTGTGGTAAGTTATGTGAGGGGCTGCTCTATTTTATCCTGGAACATACTGAACTCAAACTGCAGAGAATGACTAACAGGACTATTAGTAAATACAAGCTTGCTGACAAAAAATGGTGGAGCCTTCAGGTTTGGTTGACAGACGGGGAAATGAAATAGCTTTGATTAACACCACAGATTCTGCAAAACTCAAGCGATGGTTACGATGCCTAGTCCTTCCCTAGGGCTGCCTTTTGCTCTCTGCCATCCAAGCCCACATTGCCATTTTGTAAGGTAAAGAAGAGCTGAACGACTCCCAAGAAGTGCTAAGCTCCTTCATCTTTCTCAGGAGATAATGTGATGAAAGGCCACTCTGAATCTCTCAAGAAGCACTCAGCATACATCAGCATCAGGCCTTAATTATGACTTACTGTTTCAATACATCATTCTGTTTGATAGAGCTTGTTACAACATTTCTTGTTGACACTGGCTCACATCTCTTCAACACAGCAACGTCTTTGCTTGTGCTGCCACAGTCCTTACCACAGCACTCTGAACTAATAGCCTAGGTCCTAAAGCTAGCTTAAAGTGATGAAGCAGTCTTAAGCTGATCAAATACGTGTGTAAATAGCAGTGCAGTGTGATCCACACTGGTTTGAAATTCTGCAGTGTACAGAATAAGCACAAGTTACTGGGGGACAACGTCAAGCTGGCACTTTTGGCAGAGTCATGCCAGCTATAATGTAGCAAACATACAAAGAGAATTTGGCCTATATTTCATGTAGTAAGTAGAGAAAAAAATACATATGCATGGAAAGTTGGAAAAATTCTTTGAATCTTCTGGAATTTATTTTTCAGTTTTGATTGACAATGCTAGGTTTTACAATATTAAGATCAAGTTCTGCTCTGCCATAGTTTTCTTGGAAAGTCCCTCTAGTTGCGTACTGACTTTTAGTTGGAGAGTACTGTAGTGATATTTCCCTGCCTGAGGAGTGGGTTATATACAGAAATTGTCTGGGGTCACTTGGATAGCACAGCTTGTAGGATATAGCAGAGGGGTCTGAAGGAGTGATGCCTGTGCCTGTCTGGCAAAGGAGAGCTCCCTGCTGTCCAAGTACGGCATGGTTAAACCAAACACCTTAAAAGTTTAAATACTGTATCCTAAAAAAGTCATCATCTTTAATTCAGTGGAAAAACAATACAGATAAATCAGTGTGTTACTGAAAATATGCACAAGTGTTTAGAGACATGGCAAAGCAACGGGAAAACAAAAATTTCTTCCTTATTTTGAGATAGCTTAATTAAAGCCTACCATATCCAATAATTTGCCCTTAGACATGGTCCAACAAGCTGCACAGGCCAGAGCAGAACCCAAGTCTCTCTCTGATAATTTGTTTTACAGACCTGAATGCTCTGATGGTGGTAAGGCCTTCAGCTGTCTCAGAGAAGTGACAGAGTAAAGGTAGCTGGGTGCTGTCGTCAAGTTCCTGGAGGTCCCTGGGAGTATGAAAAACAACAGGCAGCCATTACAATGTAAACATCTCTGTCGGTAGAAATTTTACTGCGTAACAGACAAGAATAGACATTTTATGTATTGCACATATTTTCAGGATCACATAAAATAGTATTTCTATAGTATAGAAAGACACTGACATGGGAATATCACATTTCTCTTTTGCCATAGGAGCCTTTGAATCATCTCCCAGCCACCTTCACAGATCTAGCCTCTGGTCTTCAGCTAAGCTTCCCTTTGTCCCACAGCCATAATGACATTATCATATCTCTCCTGGATAAAAACCTGTTGATCATTTTAGCCAGAACCTAATTACCTTTTATTCTCAATCATTCTAATTTATTAATATAGTTAATATAATTAACTTCACTTCAGAACAGTTGATTTTCAACTTTATAGCATGTTATTTGTGGCTCTTACATCAGGTCTAAAATAGAGTTTGTGTATCTGCAAGTTTATGTATTTTATTGCAACTCTGTCAGCTGGCCTAACAAAAAGAGTGCCTTTCCCTATAAACTTTGCCTCATTTTGAGTATCTGTAAGTACACAGCATGCTGAACATAAAATATAATAGACTATAGCAGACCTTCTATTTGTAGTGTTAACACCATCAAATTGGTTGAAATAGAGACAGCACTGACAGAGAAACAATATGAATGAGAAATTTCCTCAATTATTCAGCAATGGTATTTGTCTAAAACGTTCCAGTCTCCTGAAACAGGAATGTTTTGCAAACCACAGAGACAAATACATCTTTCTGTAACACTCTGCCATTGGCATAGCAGCCAGTTGTATAAACAGAAAAGAGGCCAGATCATTAGATATTTAAACTCTTTATTAAAATCTTACTAGGTTTGCACACTGTATTAGATAGGCCAGGAAAAGTAACTGCTCCAGGATGCTGAATGTTACAGTATACAGAACTGAATTTGCTGCTTATGTTTTGATGATAAATATGCTCTCTTTCAAATTTATGATGGAAAATACACAGAAGTTTTTGAGAGATGTAATGGAAAATACAACAAAGAGTCAAAGTGCTGCAAGAAATACTGTAAATATTTGCATTTCTAAAAATTAGTGAAGCTTATATGCCTGGAAAGTACTGCATGCAAGTAAGTTATAAATACTGGCTGAAGTTATTCCTTCATCCTACATTTCCCAAGACTATTTTTTCTAGAAATGAATTGGATTTATTAATTTCTATTGTGGATTGAAAGAACACAAGTCAACCCTGGATGCTTCACAAGTGATTTAAAAGAGTTTAATTTAAACAGATTTTTAAAAAAAAGCACCTGCTGATACCAATTTTCCCAGAAAACTGTACGGGAATAAAATGAATGAGGTAGTTATGGGCTTGCAGAAGATCAGTGATTGCAGAGCCAATGGGTGCATGTGTGTGTGTGTGTGTGCTGACCTACAGGGGTGATCAACTTCTTGCTAGCTTGGATGGCATGGCTATTGGTACAGCATGTGGGAAAACCAGCTTTGGAGACAGATGGAGACTTTACTCCCACATATAAAATCACAGAGAGAAACTGTAGTATTTCCCTGGGGTCTAATACATCAGGATTTGCCTACTCTTGTGTATTTTAAGTAAGAAGTTCAAACAGTGTGCACTGCTATGTGTAGCAGGACAGGGTGACGCTCAGAAGACCATAATGCATTTAAGAATGAAAACCAGGTCTCCTGATTCTTTAGCCACCTCGAGACCTAGTGTACTGCCACATACAGCATTAGTTTGGAAACCTGGTGGGGAGACAACAAGTTTTCTGAAAAATCGCTGAGAATTTAAGCAAATTATTTCAGAATTAAACATTTTTGGTTTGTGAATTCTATTATAGAATTTTCTTATGAATGAATCTCCTTGAAAATTCTGAGGAAAGCTGATGAAAAGTAGGCTAGAGTGAAGCTAAATTATTGATATATTGCTCCATTGATTTAAGGGAAATAACTGACCCAGTTCTTTCTCAAGCTACCTAAATAAGAGTATTCTCCATGAAGCTAACTGTACTGGAACGCTTAGTTGAAAATCACTGTGTGTCTTAACTGGATACTACCAAACAGCAGTTAATGCTTTACCATGTGCATACTGCAAAGACAGGGCCAGAAGTGACAGTTGCTAATGATGGTAGGTTATTTTGGTTTCCCTGAATGTCAGCAGGCACCTTGATGGGTGTTTTTAAGTATTAGAAAGTGGAGTAAATCCAGCCAGAAATCTGGCTGATAAAAAAAAAAGAAGCATGACTGATTGAATTTAAGAAAAAACTTTGAATGGCTTGCTTAAAGTATTTTACTAAATTATATAATGGATTTAGCACTAGAAGCATGACTCTAAGAAATCATGACACCCTCTTTGCTGAAAAAATGTACTCTTTATAGCCAGCAAACCATTCTGAATGTGAAATGTTGCTGTACAGTGGAAATGATTTTCTGTGGAATTTGTTTCCCAGTATGAAGAAAAAGCCGTGACTGACGTTAATCCAGGAAGTTATTTTTCATTCTCTACTAACCCTCAAAAGGTTAAAGAGGAACTTTGACCAGATGCGAGCTGGCTCAGTTGATTAACAAACTTCATGCTCATCTGGCTCTACAGCCAACAGTGTACAAAAGTGATGCAACTAGTGTTACTTCCCCAAATAGCCCATTTGTAGTCAGGTCAGCTGGAAACATCCTCCAATGTATGTCTCAAACTCATACCTCAGGATCAAAAGCAGGACACCATGGCCATCTTCCCCTTATACTAGCTCCTATAACCTCACATTCCATCACAATTCTTATGTACAAATTTTTAGAAGAAATTTACAGGACAGTTTTTTAATACGTACTTGGAAGCAACTCTGAAGTATTTCTGGATGAAATAAAATGCTATCCCGAGAGGCACGAGGGCGACAAGAAACCATGGAGTGGCATAGGAGATCATTCCGATCGCTGACAGGCAGAGTAAGGTGGACCGGGTAAGAGACTCCAGGGTAGGAGGAATGTGCTAGAGCAAAACAAAAAACAAACACACGGCAAAAATCACCGGTAGTACCACAATATGCCTTTTCATATAGAGGACCATAGGGAAAGTGGAATGATACCACTGTGCACTCATTGATATTCTCCTTATATCAAAAGCCTTTATGTTTCTGTGGGTCTACTACTCAAATGTGCAGAGGTTAAAAAATGAGTCAGCAGGTTTTTTCCTAAACATCCGTGTTTCAAAGATCACAGGGAAACAGAAGCCATTTCCACCTCATTTATGTAACAGGCAAGAAAGAGAAAATTGTTCTTGATATCTCAAATATTTAAAGAAACATCATGCTCTTTCTCAGAGCCTCTTAATTGTCCTTCCATGTTCCCATCACCCTTACATTCAGGACTATTACTCATCCAAACACTTTAATTCACAGCCATAGTGAAAGCATCCCTTCCTCTGCCTGAATGCTCTAAATTCACATGTGCTACAACCATGATGGAACATCTGTTTGTCATGTGTACTCCCATATAATGTTATTATATTCTACCCTGTTTCCTGTTTTGAGCCCAAAATCTGGTGTTTTGCTAATTCAGAAGCAACCAGTCTGCATATGAAGACATTAAGAGCCACCATCTCCCATGTTTATTCAGTTACCTGCCCTCATTACTACAAACGTGTGTGTACTTTCTATTTTGAATTTGCCTATTACCATTCCCAGAGCCAGTTTTTTCTATGCCTTTCTCTACTGAACATTTTACTACATCATCTTATTCAGTAGCTAAGTGAAAATTTACAAAGCCAGGACGTAATAAAACAGAACATATTGATATGACTACCTGATCAATGATATTTGTATCAGCAGAGAAGCGATTTAGAATTAGCCCCAATGGAGTCATATCAAAAAACCTGTTGAACAAATTAAAAACAAAAAGTTACCTGAAAAGGAATTCCAATTTTGGATAAAAAGCCCAGTCAGACAGAACACAGAGCTCTGTCCGGACATTTTCTAAAACCAAGCAGTAAATACGAATAACTTAACACATCATAATGTCTGCATCCTGACTATCCAAATCCTTCTCTTGGCATTCCCCCGTCCCCCCAAATTTTAAGTCTCCTCTTCCAAAAACCTGCTGTCTTGTCCCCTCCTCTTTCATCCATGCTCCCTCAAGATTTAAGATCCCTTCCAAAGATCATGGCCTGTCCCTGACTGCTACTCAATCTCCTGCATAGTACTGGGCACCAGGACTCAGTTGTTTTCATAAAAACCTGTGATAACTGTACTCATTACGCAGGCACCCTTTTGGCCATCCTGCCGCCTGTGAGAGACTGTGGTTATCATGCACAGAACCTGTCCCTGGCCATCAGAAGAAACTTGGTGTCCACATTGTTTGACCCCATGCCCATGGCTCAGGGTTGGAGCTGGGTGGCCTGGAGCCAGAACTGCACTCAGAGCTTTCCTTGACAACCCAGCCTTGAAGGGGGTGCCAGCTATCTGACACTTTTTAGCCATATAAAAAAGGGGGCAGAATGTCGCGTTCTGCCATGGTATTTTTTCCCCCTGCTCACTTCATTAATTATTTTCACTTTTTGAGGCCTTGAAGAAAACAGGGCAATTACAAGAACTTTTCACAGGAGTATCCTCCCAGTTACAAAACCAGGACAGGTTTTGGCCATGTAGGTTTTCAGGAAGAAGGTTATTTTTGCTGTACCTGATTGGTCCAAGGATGATCTTGTTGAGGAGATTATGGTGCAGGTTCTTGGCTGCTGTGAGGCCCATCCACTCCACAGTCAGAGAGGTGATGAGGCAAAGGACAATCCCTGCTCCAGAGAGGGTGCTGAAGACAGCTACATGGTAAGTCTAATAAAATGACAAATACATCAGTCCTAGAAATAAACACACGTTTTGCTTTTCTGCTAGGAAGTTCCCAAGGTACATGGTACCTATCAGCTAGTATGTCACATCACTTATATTCCATAATTATATTAATATAATCTTTGGGAAATAAAAGAACTATGACGGAACTGCGATTGATTAAGTTCACATAATTAGAAGATCTGGCAGTTCTAAGAACCCTCAACCTACTGATGAGTACCCTACAAGACCCTGAAGTGATAGTACTTAGAACTGTGAAGATAGACTAACTGGACAAACACAAAAGTATGCAAATTGTTAGCCAAGAAACTCAGACAACCGAAGTAGAACCTCTGAAAAATTAAGGCATTTGAGAGATGTAGGAAAGTTCCACTCTAAAGTTCAAGCACCACTAAAATTCCCAGACCAAATCCTAAACTAATCCATCATGGGCTATAACACATTTAAGCGTTCTGAAAGTTTACTATGTGGATTCCAGTGAGATATTTGTATATGAGTCAAATTTACAGCTATAAACAGATTGTATTTAAGTAGTACATTTGAAGACCTTTTTTTTCCCTGGTGGGACATTACTGGACAGCCAGTACTTAGGAAAATGAGGTCATTGACTTAGGTGTTAAAAAATCCAGATGGAAAAGTTTAGTATGAGATTCCTTCCTTTGAAAAGTCAATCATTTTTCTAATCTCAAACATGCTTCTGTTTCAGTTTTGCATGTTTGAAAAGATTGATAAAATTTGAATTGTCTTATGTTTTTTCATAAACAATTCATCCATCCTATATAATAATCAATCTTACTATATCTACCTGTCTTTCTGATCTATCTGGCTTCTAGATGAACAGCAAATGATTACTTTAGAACATTTTTTCTTTTTTCCCTGTCAAGCTCCAAGATATGGCCCACCTTATTTGTGCTCTTAACATCATCAACGTTCCTGAATTCGTTTGCATTGTCCATGGATGTCCACGTAGCAAGCCAATAGTCTATGGCCACTATAACTGAGTGTTTCAACAGCTTTGAGAAAATCATCAGAAAGAGCAAGAAAAATCCTCCAGAGGTTAGGTATCTCCAGCAGGTTTTCCATGGCATCTTTGTTCTGAGCCTCAAGACAGTTGACATATTGTCGTCTTCATCTTCTTCCTCTTCTTCCTCTGTGACTCAGACATTTGATCAAGTTAGCTTGGATTCAGTACTAAGAATTATACCTGGTTTTACTGGATTTGGTTGACTTCTTTGTTTTGAATTTTAATTCTAATGGCAAAATTGAATCTGTCACTTAAAACCAGCAAACAGTTCAGACATATTTTCATAAGACTTCCCCTGTGCTCTCTGAGCAACTCTATAGACTGTCAGTCTTTGACTAGTTACAGTTTTGGTAAAAAATATTTTTGTAAGTCAGGTCTTCAGTACTATAAGTCAGTACTTCAGTACTACTATTTATAGTAGAGACTAGGCCTTTCCCAATCTGTTCAGTTGCTTTTATTATACAGTCAGCAGAGCACTTTTGGTTACATAGAAGATTCTAGAAAGTTTTCCAAAGCTTTCCATCCAGATGCTCTGTCATCTGTTGCATGAAAGAACTCCATTTTTACTTTATTCCTGAGTACTAAAGTTTTGTCTATATAAAAGAGCACAGCTGTGGGATTAACATTTCTTCTAGTCCTACCTTTGACTATGTGATAATTGTTCACATTATAGTGAAACACAATTGGTGGAAGAATTCTGCTATGGGAAATATATATTTCACAGGTCCACAGACATTACATTTAAAAATAATTTTTTTTCCCAGGTAATAAAAATATACATCACAGCCTTGCAGCCTGCATTTGGGGAAGAGGAATGTTGACTGGCTCTTGACAGCCCTGAACTGACAGCATTTCCACCCATTCCTGATTTTGAACATTAAAAATTAATTAGTAAGTGATTTCTTGAAAGTTGCCATTCTACACTTTTTAGGACACAGAGACTTTGTGTACATTCCCTAGCTCACATAATAAGTGGATGACCTAGAATGCAATGTCAGGTTATATTTCTGCCCTGAAGTTACTGATACGTGGTTTATGATCTTCACGATGCTTTTTGCAGGCATTCTGTGGACTATATGGACATATCTTTTTTTCCCTGTGCTTTCTATCTTACCCCACAAAGAAGATACAGGTTTTTGGCAAGGCTTTCTTGCACAGACCAAAAGGAGGAGCTTGGGAATGACCTCAATTTAAACTCCTCCAAGAATTTAACTGATAAAGTGTACTGATGACTGGACATAGTAAGAGGTGTTCTGCTCAGCTCTGCCAAAGAAGCCAACATAACATTTCTATCTCCAGGGCTCTGGGGTCCAGCTCTGTCTATTGTGCAGTGATTGGAAATCTCTTCAAAATGGAGCAATCCAGGACCTACACACCTGTGACTTAAGATGACATTGCCAGATGAAACACAAGTCAGCAGTAAAGAGCCCGCTAATAGCCAGAGTGCATTCTGTGATCACTCCAGCCAACATTGCCATGATAATCCCTGCAATTAGTGCTCCTGTTGAGTTAAGGTGAAGCCTGCAGTTCACCTCTTCTCTGGCACAAACTTACTGCTTGCCAGGACTGACTACGCCATTTAGGCATGGTCTAGCATCCCAGGGATGTTCTTGATGGGTCTTGTTGCCAGCTGCCAATATGCAACCATGTGTCCCCCTCTCCCCCCCACCCCACTTTAAAAGTGACGTGAATCTGAATCTGCAGACTCTAAAACCACCAAGACTTGGGGGGAACAAGAAGCTAAGCTTGAGAACAAAGCCTAAAATTTCTCCCATAAATAGTCTCAGCTAGAAAAATAGCAGATTAACTCCATATCCAAAAAAGGAATTGAAAATAGCTACAAGTTTGATCATGTGGTGATATATCAAGAGCCCAGAACAGATGTCTCATGAGGGACAGGGTTACAGATGATCTAACATTATTGTGCCAATGACTAGGCAGAGCTACCTCAATTTGCATTAATAACAATTCTTACCATTGTTTTACTTCTACCTCACCCCTCACTACCTCCAGGCAGTATGAGTTAGCAAAGAAATTAACTTGTTGTGGTACACCTTATTCTTGCACAATATTTATAGAAATCTATGGAGAATCCCTTAAGTCATATTCTAAACAGGTTGAAGTATTGGACTTTCCACTGTTATTACCAAGTGTCATCAGCACCTTCATACTTCATTGCTAAGAACTGCCAGCTGTTTAAGTGGAAAGGCAATGATACATGGTAACAGAATAAATAAAGTGAAATGATAAAACATACCTTCATCTTCATCTTCCAGTTGTGATTTGGATTCTCTGGGGTACATGGCCCTTCTAAGAGTTTTTCTCTCAAGAGTAGTCTGGTCAGCTTCCATATCCTGTGATAAGAAAACTTATTTATTAATTTGAGAGCTTAGCTGTCTGCCATTGTGGTAGCACCAACAGTAACAGTCAAAGAGACTGTTCAGATGATTTAGCTCACAGAATGCAAAAGCACAGTATTTTAGGATTAATCTTTCAGAAGATCCTGTCTTGTCCACTTTCTTCCCTCTTTCTTCCATTGTTTCATTCCCTCTCTTCTGGAATGATAAAAACTTCAAAAATAGTCTTTAGAGAATCCTAAATGCTCATGGCAATAACGGAATAAAAGGCAAAGAGGTACTTTAGGAAGTCTTTTGGTCCACCCCTTGCCCCAGAAAAGGATCAGTTGTGCACCGCATTTCAAAAGGATGTTTGTCTAATGTGTCCTTACAAACCACCCATGACGGATATGCCACACACTTCCTAGACAATCTATTCCGATCCTTAAAGTTCCTTACAGTTTATGTGTTTTTCCCTAATGTCTAGTTTAAAACTTGCTTTCTGACATGGTTTGGTTTTTTTAGAAATTAACTGAAAAATACTTCTTTTCAGAAAGGTCATCCTTGCCCAAATACTCCTATTTACCTTCTCCAATTCTTGATCTTGGCGATTCATCAAAGTTTTCCAGTGTTCATATAGCTCAATATCCTTGGTTTGGATATCCTTTAGTGTTCCTTCTCTAAGCACCATTCCATCCTTCATTGCTATGATCTAGGGGAAAAAGCATCCAATAGGTCTACTCAGCAACACACATACCATAATCACTGACCTGGATCCTACAAGATATGTCTCAGTATTGGTGAGATTACCATTACGCAAATTTCTGTGTTCACTTTATTCAATATTTTATTAGTAACTTCTTAAGATTGTTGACACAGCTCATAAACTGAAACTTCTAGACACCATGCTTACCTGTACTTGTAAAAAGCATGGAAAGGATATAATAAGTAATAGTCATATTTGCAATTAAGTCATAATTCTCTGGTGGCTTTCAATCAAAAAACCCTACACAAATAATGTAAAAATAAAATTGTTCCTTCTACTATAACAGCCGTATTATGTAAAGTGGCAGTTAGCAACATAACATGGAATTAAGAAGGAGGGTCTCTATTGCAGAGAAAAGTAGTGATGTCATCAAGCATTATGGTGCTAACTTCAAGCGTATGTTCATCATTAGCAAATCTGCATCATGGTGGCTCTTCTCTTACCCAGTCAGCATGTGGTAGATATTGTAACTTATGTGTCACCAGAACAAGAGTCCTCTTGTCTTCTTGCAGAAACTTCAAAATCCCTTCCTGCATTAAATGATCACTTAAGTGAATGTCCAGTGCAGAGAATGGGTCATCCTGCAATCAAATCAAATTAAAAAATATTAGAACAGGATACAAAAATTAGTTTTATTTCTTTCAAGAGTTTTTTAAAAAATAGAAAGCATCTGCCATTACTAACATTTAATCTCTCTCTAATGACTAAGACCTAGTCAGAGGGCTGCACTATGAAACAGTGAGCTAGAATCCATTGCTTTTCAGTTCATAGCAATGGATTCAGTTAATTTTTTGTGTATAGATGTTTGCAGTGCTGGTGCCACACTGACAGTGTGCAGTAATCCTCATCAGGAACACCAGAACTGAAATTTCCCATCCAAATTTGAAAATGCCAGGATCCAGAGCCAAGCTTGGGCCCAATTTTGATGGGAAACTGGCACAGCAAAGATAAAGCAGAGTTAGAAACTGCTCTAATTTCCTCCCAAGTAAACTGCAGATGTGCTTGGTCTTCACTTCGAGTGACTGTGGCTAGCAACAAGACAACATTCAGATAAGGATATTAATATATAAAACACTTTTTCTCTAACAACAGAAGTCCCTGGTTAATTTTGAAGAGGCTCAAACAGCCCCTTCATGAGCAGTAGCCTCCTGAGATTCCTGACATGCCTTGAAATTAGTAACAGAGAAGGAAGTTTGTCCAAATCCACAGCACTCTGCAGGAGAGCGCTGAACCCTCAGTCTGTTCATTGCTCACAAGTAGTTGCATTATGGTGCTCCTTATCAGAAGTCCTGCTGATTTCAGTGGGACTATGTTGACAGTAGGTCACCACTGAGAGTGAGCAGAAGTTAGACAATCTGTTCTGCTCTTCCAGTGTTAATCTCTGTAGGAAATCCCACCTTCATCAGTCTCCCAGCATGTTTTGATGCTGCCTCTGGTGGATGTTTATTTCCTATAATTTGGATTTGGAGTTGAATACATGTCCCTGTAGCTTTCTAAATCTAACATTCTTTTCTAAAGCTAAACATAAGGAATTACAGTTTTATTATTAGCTTTCCATGCTCCATGTGAAAAAGAAAATTCTTACCAAGAAGACAATGTTGGTGTTCTGATAGAGTGCTCGAGCTACACAGATTCTCTGTCGTTGGCCGCCACTTAAATTAATCCCCTAATAAGTATAATGGATCAGAAATATGCATCTTTGAATAAATATTATGATAGGACTTTGGAAATATGATTTTTTTACAATTATACAGAGTTCCAATAATAATAAAAAGCTTTGTTAAAATGCTAATCCTGTTGATAAACAAGCATAATCCTCATACAATATCAGAAGAAAAATGACTATTCAGCAACTAAGCATGGGTAAATGTAAATCATGAAGAGCTTCTCTAAGCACAGTAGGCTTCTTAGATTGAAAAGTGCAACCAATACTAGCATCAAATTCTTTGGGAAAAAATAGGAGGCTGTGATCAAAAAATCACATTTGAGAAACTGCTGAAGAAGGAAAAAATTTTGAACTTTTTTTGCAGTAACCCCTGGTGAATTACAATTATTTACCAGGCTGGCAGCCCAATACAGGCTAGTCTGTCTGACTGACATCAGAGAGTGCCTTCTTAATACATAGGCTAAGCAGACATAAAACTGTCCATATTATTTACCCTTTCTCCAATTTCTGTCTGATCACCAAATGGTAGTAAGTCAATGTCAGGCTGCAGAGAGCACGCATCTGTAACAGCTTTGTACCTGTAAAAACAATATGGTCACTGCAATTATTTAACGAGCCACTTTGCTAACACAAAAACTTCCAGCTCCAATTCACTGCTAAGTTATTATGGCTCCATGGTTGGATAATTGCAGAAATAAGTAGGGCAAAATGATTATTCAGCAACTAATCATGGAGCACTGTAAAATAAGCCTTGTAAAAAAACTGACATATTTATTAGAGATCGTTATTGGCAAGCCTACTTTTTAAAGATTCAGTTACATAAATTATTGAGTACCTTCCTCCCTATCATGGAGCTGTTTTGCTGGACTCTGGAGTATTTGAAGCCATTTTCCAATGAGTTGTTATTCTTCCCCCTTTAGGTGCCTCTTCATTTACTTCAGTGTGACATTACAGGACAAAGGATCCTTACAGTGCTTCTGATCTTGCCAGAATCAGGAAACCACTTGCAAAAACTTGAAATTTGTTGTGAGATTTTTAGGTCTCAGCAGATGAATAAGCAGCTGGGATCAGACTATTTGGTGTAATTCAGCCTTGCCCCTTTGACACGAGTGAAGTTAGGCTGATGGATGCAGTAGCTGAAGAATCTGGTCCCTGAAATTTTACATGTTTATCTGGATTTTGAGATATTTGGTCATTGCTAAGTTTTACTGAGTGGGAATGGAGTCATACATCTTAACAAAGCACACACTGAGAGGAATGGGATGTATTCCTAATAACTTAAACCAAAGAGAGTGTTGCCTTTGAAAACATCAGCAATTTGTTTTCCTTAGGTCAAGTCACTTTTTCCACTGCATTTGTTAGCTGACCTTTTAGAAGGACACATGAAGCAAGTTCTGGATAGGCGCAACAGAAGCTGTGTACCTCAGCTTTCACACTCCTTTCTCCTCAATTTCTAAAGGAAGAATTAAGGTTATTTTCTTGAGGCACCCCATCTTCATATGTGCAGTGTTTTTGTAAAGTGGCTGCTCCAGTAACTTGATCACAGCAGCATTAGCGCATAAACTTGGTGGAAACATGCCTAGTATCACTATTTCCAGAGTCCTCTGGCAACCTCAGGCTCCATTAAACAAAATAAAAACATGTCAGTAGTCTCCAAAGATGGGATTCATCTCACCTGACTTTAGCAGCTTGGAAAATACACATATGGCTTCTGTTGTATTCCATGGAGACCCACTGCCATTGTGTGATTTCTCACAAACTTCTTCGACATGCACTCTGGTTAGAGGGGAAGCCTTGAAAGGCTAATTTAAAACAGAAACCTTCCTTTGAGATGGCTAAAGTCAGGTTAGCTAAATCCACCCCAGGATTAATGTGCATTTTTCAGAATCTACAAACATCCTCCAGAAGGAGAAGCCAAAAACCTCTTTAAAAGAAGCTGCCAGGTGTTTTTTCAAGGGGGTTGATATTTACCTCTGTTTATTAAATGGGCTCCCAAAGATAATGTTCTCCTCCACGGTTGCATTCAGCAGCCACGGCTTCTGAGCTGCGTAAGCCACTGAATATCTGTTTCTATTGTAGACAGATAAAGAGCATTAGTAAAAAGGAAAGCAGCTGAAATGTCTGAGAATCATTTTTTTCAAAATTAATTTTATGAATGTGCATTCATAAAAATATAGGGAAACACATAGGCAAAGCAACTGTTACAAAAGAGAAGGGAAGAATTTTAAATTAGATGCTTTTGTTAGAACAGCACCCACTCTCTCCCCTGATGGCAAAATCTACACTCTAGGTTGTATTCTATTCTACTATAAATGGCTGGTACCTACCTCAATTTAGTAACTGCAATATCAATCCAAAGGCAAATTATAAATAATCAAAATTAATAAATTCTCACAAGAATAGTTCTTTGGTATTTTTTTCTCTGACATCAAAACAGGTGGTGAAAAGGCACTGTTCAAATGGCATCAGGCCACTTGATTTGCTGATTTCTGAAGTTTTAGATTATGTGACTGGGCACATGAAATACTTTTTTCTCAGCAAATGTTTTTTTCCTTTAAGTCTATTAGATCCTCAGTGGACGGACATGATATTGGAAAAGAGAACAGTTCAATACAGATTGGGAAGGAATCACTACAGTCTCCCAAGTACTTATCAGATGTACTTTAAATATATCTAAATACCTAATGAAATGTGTACAATAGGGGTATGAATGTTCTTTACTTCTGGCCATTTTACCTATGTATGGCAAAAAAGGTCATGTAATTTCAGATGTTTTTGCCCGAGATGTGTGAGGAAGGAGGTGTGAACTGGTAATGGCTTGTGGATCTGAACACTTATCTTCCTTCTCAGTCTCTTTGCTGGTATTGCTTCAAAACAAACATATGATATAGCTTTGTATGTAAGCATCTAGGATTTGCTGTTGAGAGAGAGGGTGCTAGGGTATGAGAAATAGCTAGTTAGAAGCAGTCAGTAGTATCCCCAACATTTTAGGAGTTTTAGCAGTTCAGTATGCACTAGTATAAAATATGTCGTCAGGATTATCAGGTAGCAAATCATGGTGTGGCTCCCAACCACAGCTATGTGTGCCACTACTTCTCTATCATTTATGACATGTTATTAGTTTAGCTTGTCCTTCTTTTAAACCTGCAGGCCCTTTCACTGAAGCCAGGGGTGGAGCCATTGCTTGACTTCAGCTGGAGCACAGCCGGTTCCTTTCACACGCTGTGTGCCCTGCTCAGTCACACAGCTGTCAAGCTGGGTTACAAGCAACACAAAACCCAGTGCTGATCAGAAAAGATGCAAACACATGGGAGGGTATACATAATGATGTCTTCCATCTAGAGGCCCTGTCTTGCAAGATACGGGGCACACTAAACTCCCAGTGATGTCAAATGGGAGCTGGGAGCACTGAACATCTTTCAGGTAAGACTGAGGTAGTGGTACAATGGCTGGAGAAGATTGGGATCCACTGGATTTAACACAATCTGTCAGTTAATCCTACCGTAAATTATTATCAACATGGTAAGAAAACACAGAGATGGCCGAAGGGTACAAAGATGAAGGTTTGAGGAAATTCTGAAGAAATGAATGAGTGTATCATGATACACTAGAAACAGAAATAATACCTTCTGGATGCTTCAAAAGAAGGTTCAGTTTCATTTACACTGTAAGTTATGGTAAATGACATTTAGTAAGCAGAAAATATAGAGAATAACATTTTGTGTAAGTTTTCTATACAGGGAAACTGCAGTTAAGCACATATTTTAAGAACTCAACATCACTTTGGGTTTTTTTGTACTTAAAGCGAAAATAAACAAGGTCTAATTAAAAGTATATACCTTTTCTAAATACAACAGTTTCATATCTATAGTGCATAGTGGCTAAACAGGCAAATTATGTTGTTAGGACATGTATTAAAAATGAAAAGTGTATTGTAAAACCTATTAAAAGTTAAATTCTTAATATTGCCTGGGCATATAAAAGGTTGACAAGCAATAAGTTAGCTTCTCCACACAGTTCTGCCAATGAGCTGCAAAAGTTGGTAACTAATGCTGAATTTCTCCTGAAGCAAAGATAAGCTTCGCAGATACAGTTTTGCAAGGTACAAACACACTTTTGCATCAGAACAGATTTGGAACCTGTTTATAGCAGTAAGGCTGCATTAAGCCATGCACTACAATGCCTAGGCTTTTCTTGTTAACCTCCACTTCATAAGGATCATATCCATGAAACACATTTTGAAGAACATGCAATGGCAGTAATGATATGAATGATTTTGCAGCTCCCTCTGTTTGTTAATTGACTTATTAACAGTGTTGAGGGCATGGAACGGCAGTCAAAGCAGTTCTGGACCAGCGATGGTGCTCGTGTCCAGGCATGATGACACATCACTGCAAAGTGCAAAACCTAAAAGAGTAAGTTTATGCCAGGTAAATGGAAACAGACATTAGAAGGGACTAGAAAAATGGTATTAATGTGTTATTTGCCTGACTTAAAAAAAACCCAAACAAACAAATCCTCCCCTCCCAAGTCTATGAATCCTCCAGATGTAATAATTTACTGCTAAGACAGAAATGTCTGCTTGCCTGCTGGGATATCAGTAACTGCAGCTGCACTCATAAGCAGAGGATCCAAGTCTGGCAAAGGGCATAAAAATTCTAATAGCAGAGCCCTTGTAATGCCAGACTCATGTATTAAGCGTCTTCCCAACATGCCAGAACTGAGACAGGTTGCTTTCTGTGCTGCACATCAGCTCCCTAAGAACTTTGATAATTCATGCCTCCTAAAGTGCACAGTGTGTTTCCTTTGTGCACCAATCACCAGAAAAAATATTACATCAGAGATGAATAAGCCCTGTTGGTTTTCTCAGAAGGGTCAGAGAGCCATAAATTGAGGCTCAAGACAGACATTGCTTCACCAAAATTCATCCTTTATTCAGCAGAAGTTTCCAGTCTTCTCTACAGTGGAAAAAAGTTACAAGAAAGCAAAAGATTGAGTGTAATGAGAGATTAAAAAGAGGCCAGAAATTAGGTCAAACCAAACAAAAAAGAAGAAAACCTAAATTTCCTCATTTAAAAAACCCCAAACTTCTATCAGCAGAGTATTGCAATGGTAGAGAAAGGGATAATGCTTTCATGTATACATTTGGGAGTGCCCTCTGAAGTACAATTTTACAAAAACTGGGCAAAAGCCTTGCAAGACCCCTTGCAATTCCATACCAGATTTAATATGCTTCCCATTAATATCAAATAGATTATCCGAATGAGCAAGGACTAATTTTAGGATCTCAGTTTCTTAAACTCTTCTTCCTTGGTTAGAAATTTCATTCCATGCTTAGCTTGACAAATACATTTTAATTTGCACAAATAATGAGTGAGATTTCTGTGAGAACCCACGTTCATTAATAATCTCATGAATAAACACATATAAGACCTTTGCTGAGCTGGGGCCTTCACAAATAAGGGGATGAAATATTTGGTCTTCTACTTTATTACTCTACTGAATCTGAAAGTGCGATGCGATTGCAGGGCATGGGAGTAGGCTGAAAATGAAGCTCCTGAGGTTTCTAAAAAGAGTATTTTATTTGCCTGCTGGGATTAGTAATCTCTGCTCTAATTTCTTCATTTATTGAAATGTGGCTATTTATACTGATTTTTATTCTGTACTATAAAATATACATATTCCTCAAAATGGGGTGTGGTAAGTTCAAGTCTGAAATGGTAGGAAAGACCAAACTGATTAGATTGATTATTTATAAGATTTTGAATATATAAGCTGAAATGAACTTACATCAAGGTTTTAAGAAAAAGTCAGAAGAGACCTTGTTGAAGTTTGGACAACTTTTATGCTAACTCTGGACATTTTAAAATAGACTAACACATCGCCAACCAGGTCCAGATTCCCTCAACTTAAAAAACGAAAATGAAGGAGAAAAAGGGGATACAAAATCTCTAGGATACCACTGAATGAACCATTTCCTCTGCTAATATACGCAAGAGCTTTGAGGCAACACAAGGACTGATCATCTACACAAATACTATCTGGCAGTTTGGAGGAATTTATTCCTGTCCCTGCAACCAGCCATAGCAGCACCGCAGCGCTACCAGGTATGCTGACTTTGGCTACTGATATTTATCTGGCCGACCATTTATCCATCTGTGGATAATGACCTTCAATGTTTTCTATGAGTTACTGTGGTTGCAACCTTTTGGTAAGTAGTTATACTTGTAATCTTTCTGAGGGGAGCACTGACTTTTCCTAATTTTTTTTGAAGCCTTCCATAGCTTGAGGGCAGAACAGGCCATTTAGGAGGACTGATTTTGTAATTCTCATGTTTCCCATGTTTTTCACTTAGTACACAACAACCTGTTTGCACAGAAACCAGTTCAATGTACAGAAAAGGTATATGAAGTGAAGGGCTTCCACTTAGCCACTCTTCTTTGCTTGGTGGTCTGAGAAGACAGTTCAGTTAACTGTTTGGCTTAGTATGGATGAGGGGAATACATGTGTCTGCATATTTCCCACATCTGGCCCTGTATAGACTTAATAGCTAATAACTCAGATCTGAAACAGACTTAGCCGAATCACTGCATCCAGCTAGCCTCATGCTTCAGTGTTTAAGAATTCTCTCTAGCTGATTGCTCACTGGGAAAACAAAAGTTCCTTCTCTAAGGTTTGTAATGTATCCGAGGCATGTCTCATATAACTGGGAAGAACTGAGGTCTGGCCCATAAGATTTGCCCTGGCCAAGATCTCTTACAGAAAGACACACTAACATGCTTTCTTTC